CTGGGGTTTTTCCTGTAGTATCGTGATTTGCCGTTCTTAAAGCATAAGCTAATTCATTTATGTAGCCATCCCAGCGCTTGTGATGTGTGCTCACGTAACTGCGAATTATTTTTACTCTGTTTTTATTCACTCTTTCTGCGATGTTTGCCTGTGGTCTATACGGAACCATTTTGATATGGCGTATGCCAAGTCCATTGCATATGTTTTCAAATATTTGACTAACGAATTGTTTTTCGTTATCGCTAATGACTTTTATCGGTGCAACCGTATTTTAAAATGTATCTGTGTAAGAATGCATCTGCGACTGTTTTGGCTGACGCGCGTTTTTAAGTGGACAGTTTTCTGTCCATTTTGAATAATGATCTACTATTACTAAAAGAAAAACTATTTTATTTAACTCGCTCTGGGAGAAGGGACCAAGAAGATCTATGCCTAAAATTTCATTCGGAAATGTAGCGCGAATGCTATTTAAGTACCCGGCCGGGCTGTAATTAATATCATTTATTAACTGACATTGATTGCAGGACCTGACATACGCCGTTACTATTTTGTATAATTGCGGGAAATATACCGCCTCGCGTACCCTTTTTAAAGTCTTTCTGACCCCTAAATGACCCGCTGTTTTCGCGTCGTGTAATTCCTTCAAAATGCTTAATCGAAGCGAGGCTGGGATGACTGGTTTGTACTCAAGATTTTCGTATAAAATAATAAATTATCTATTATTTCATAGTTTTCTGCTCTATTTCTTATCGCATTGATATCTGTGTGCTCAAAGCTTTCAGGGTCTTTCAAATATGCATAGATATTCCTAAATTCAGGATCAGCTTTCAGTTCAGTGATAATCGTATCTCTAGAATCTAAAATTTTTGAAGTCAACACAGCGCATTTAAGTTAATTTCCTTCATCGTCCAGTTTTATACGAGAAAGTGCGTCAGCTACATTGTTTTCCTTATCCGGTTTATATTTAATTTATGAGGTTATACTCTTGGAAGTTTTAAAGCCATATCTTATTAACCTGGGCGTTAGGTTTTTCCCCGAGTAAATTCTACCAATAACCGCATGTTCCGAAAAGACTGTTACTGGCGCTTTGCCGAAATAATACTCGAAATTTCTGTACAGCCATTAATACGGCTAATGTTTCTCTCTTCGTAGCTGTATAATTCCTTTGTGTCTGAATTAAAAGTTTTACTAAAAAATGCCAAAGGAATGCCCTATTTCTGCATGAGAACCGCACCCTACGGCAGAGTTCGACGCATCTGCTGCAATTTTCCAGGTTTTCAGTTCCCCCTTCCGGGAATTTCAAAACAGGGGCATTGATGAGTGCTTCTTTTAATCTTTCAAAATCTGTGTTTGTTTCTGCTGTCCACGTAAATTTACCTTTCTTTCTTTTGATTACTAAGAGTGGTTTCAAACATATTAGCGAAATCTTTTATGAAAGACCGATAGTAAGAACATAACCAAGGAAAGAAGAAGAAAGTTCTTGGCGGGTTGGGGCAGTGGGAAATTCTTGATAGCTTTTATTTTTGAATCTCGCGTTTCTATACCCTTTTGCGAAATTTTATAACCGAGATATTTAAGTTCTTTAGTTTGCGAACTTGCATTTTGAGGCGTTAATTATAAGACGGCCTCTTTTAATAATTTAAAAACTTGTTCTAGATCATTAATGTGTTGTTCCAACGTACTACTCGTTATAATTATATCATCTAGATAAATTAAAGTTGATTTTCCTAGGACAGGCTTTAGAACAATGTCCATAGCTCTCTGGAATGTTGATGGGGCCCCACACAACCCAAAGGGCATGCGTAAAAATGCATAAGTGCCCGATTTGTTATAAACGCGGTTTTTATGTACGTCTTCGGGTCTCATAGCTATTTGATAGTAGCCAGACGTTAAGTCCAAAGTAGACATGTATCTTGTCGATTTGATCTGTCTAATGATTTCCTCTATAACCGGCAAGGGTAAACTGGAAATTTAGTAATACTATTTAGTTTTCTGTAATCGATAGCAAAACCTCCAAGCCCTTTTATCTGAAGGAGGAAACTCGTTCTTTTTCCTACATAGTACGAGTGGACTCGCGTACTCACTATTTATGGGCGTTATTATTTTATTCTTTAACATCTCCTGAATATGTTCTTCGATGATTACGTCTTTTTGTTTGTCGTACCGATAAGGTTTAGTCCTACAAGGTTTTTCGGCAGTTACTTGTATCTTATGCGTAACTATCTGACAATTTCCCGGTTATTCTGAAAACAAGTTAGCAAAATTACTCACCACTTGCTGGATGGCTTGCCTTTCATGGTCATTCAGATGGCTAAGGTCCACTTGCGGTGTCTCCACAGGTTCCACCACCCTGTGGTCCATCTCCAGTACCACGGAACTGTCTTGAAAATTCAATTTGGCCCTCACGGCCCTTAAAAACTCCATACCTAAAATAAGAGAATTTTGCAGATTTTTCACTACAAAAATTAATACTTTGAGGCTTTCCTCTTTTACCTGTATGTTTATGATAATTTCCCGATGCAGTGACATGTTTTCCTTGCGCCGCTATAATTTCCGTATTTTTTGGTTTTAAATAATCGTACCCTATAAAAATTCTTTTTGAAGAAATTTTCGCTCATAAAATTCCCTTCTGCTCCTGTATCGATGAGGGCTTCTACTGGTACATCGCCAACCAGGACTTGTATAATTGGTAGATGTGAGTTTTTTATGATGACCGTATTTAAATGTCTTTTTGAGGGTTTTTTTAAAACTTCCGGGGTCTGGACCCTCCCTTTCACAGGCCCCACTACTCGTTTAAAGCTTTCCTTTCAAGTTTTGCCTTCTGGGTACGCGGATGTTTATCTTCGAATTTTCTTTTTGGGCCTTGACCTTCGAGTTTCGATGAGTTAGCTTGTTAGCTCTTTCCCCCATAAGAGCGATTTCCATTTCTGGTTTCCTCATTTGAAGATTTCCTTCGGATACTTTGAGAATACGTTGGCCCTCTAGCTTTTTCCGCTATTCTGCGATTTTGAAACTTCGCCGCCAATTCGAAGAGCTCCTGCAATGTGCTTGGGTTTCTAATTTCGAAGTAGTCTTGAACAGCGGGTAACAATCTTGGTAAGATTATTTCAATAATCTCCGCATCGGGTTTCTTCCCATACAGCATATTCCGTCAGCTTAATTTTTTCGTAGAATAAAGTCCGTCAATTCTTCTATATCCCGTTGATAGAAAACTATATAGTTCGGCTTCCAGCCTTGCTCGATCTTTCAGTATGGGGAAGGCCTTTACTAACGATTTTTTGAAATTTTCAAAAGTATATGTCTGGCTTCCAAATTCCCCTAATAAAAATTTGCCTATATTTTTCCACCATAGTGCGGCCTGTCCTCTTAGTGCAGATGTGGCGATGGCAACTTTTTGTCTTTCAGGAACATGGTAGAGCTGAAAGTGGTTTTCTAGACCTTCTAGAAATACAGCCACCGAATTTTTTCCGTCGAAATGGACGTTTGGTTTGATTGACGCTCTCAAAGTCTGGACCAGGTATCCAAATCCTTCCAATTGGCTTGTCATTTCTTGGTGTTGTCCAGCGGCTTCCATCCAATTTTCGGCCATTTCAGTTCGAGAAGTGTTCGGGCGCCAGTGTAGCGTTGCGCGCCTCCAACTTGCATGCAACCAAGAGGTGACTGTGAAAACTGGATAAAAGACAGAGTCTTGTTAAGGGTTTAAGTCCCTTTTTATTCAACGTAATAAATTACAAGTGCGTGCTCTTGACGTTCACAAACTGCGCCAACTCGGCGGTCAAATAAAAATAATAACCTGAAAAGAAACTAAAGACAAGACTCTTAACTACGAGGCTCTCTAAAAGTAACTAACCTCACCGCGTTTTACAATACCGCTGCTAATTCAGCAACTTGAAGATCACGTTGAACGATTAACAATACTTCCAGGCAAGCACACAGGCCAAAATGTGGGGTTCTTCAATTTCTGGCTAACTACCTCCGCGCTCGTGAAGTAAGAACAGCACACCTTGAACTCGTTTCCTTCCTATTTAACTCAGAATACTTCCGCTGATAATTTGAATCCTTGCACGTTCTACTAAAAATTTACATACTCTGGCATTGGCAGTTCCAGGGGAAAAGTAAGGCTTGACAGGAAAGGTAGTTTAAACTTGAAATAAATGTTAGTTAAAATAAATATAAACCCTACAACTTTATTAAACATTTCTTTCAATGTAAGTTGTTTAAGTTGCTACGTTTTATGTGATAATACTTTCTCTTTAATTCTATAAACAGACATAATTTCTTGTTCAGTTACTAAGTTCCGCTGTTCAAGTTCCATAATTGCTGTGCCGAGAATACCAACTAACTTGTCAATCGAAATTTTTTCGTTTTCATTAACCTCTCTGTCACCTTCTTCATGTCTTTATCCATTTTTTGCAGCAATTCCACTTTTTGTTTGATGGACATCGAAACATACTTTCGTTTTGTAGATCCTTTGGGAGCTCCAGCATCGCAAATTCTATTTGACATAATCGAAAGTTCAAGTTTACTTTTATATAAAATTGCTCTTACAGTCTGCAAAAAATAATAAGCGAATCCAATTCGAAGATTAAGGAACAATGCAATAATCAACATTAACTGAAATAGATAATAGATAATTTTAGCTTATACTGTCCGTTTTACATTAAACGTGCACGCGAAAACGTATTCTGCACTTGCACACACGCATATGCGCATTCGTAAAGGTCTTATGCGCACGCGTAAACGCCTATGCGCATGTGTCAACGCGGCGCATGCGCAGAAAGTTTTTAGCTTTGAGGTCCGGATTATGGGTGTCCAAATTAACGAGTTTTGACTGTATAATTTTTCTCTTGGGGATCCAGGCTTCTTAGAGACTCCGAACACTGAAATTGAGAACTATGTATATTAATATAGCATAAATTTTCTGACTTTTTTTATTATTTTTAATTGCTTTTTTACTTTTAACCTGACTTTTTTTTTTTTTTTTTTGTCTTGTCTTTCAGGATAGTTATAAACGATTGAAAGAAATATCTATAATGCACTCATTATTTGATCCACTAACTGATGAGGAACTGAAAGCGAAGAAAAAAATGGAAATTGCTGAGTAAGTTAATTTTTTAATCATGCACTAATTTATTTGCGGGTGTCTGAATGTGTGTGTTAATATGTCATGTATTTAGATTTTTTTAGTAACAAATATGTTTGGATATATTCTGTATAGAATTGAAATTAAAAAAAGGTTGAGAATGTGATTTAAAGTTTTAGTTTGGATTAATTGTAATTGACTTTATATGTTTTATAACAACAAAAGATTTTCATTCACTAACATCAGTAATGCATATTTAACGGAAGGCAAGAAGAATGGTTGGCAGAATTGAACTGCCAGTTTACAGAATGAAGAAATACTAAAAATTAAAAAATGTATTTTGGTACTCTTCTGTTATCAGGAGGCTAGGTTCAGAAATGTTTGTGTGAATTCTCTATGCATTTATATATGTGTATACACACACACACACACACACATATATGCACATGCAAAATGTACAGACATGCAGCCATGCATACATTTCTAAATCAAGTCCTGATAACAGAAGAGTACCTAGACTTTTGAATTTATGAGTGTTATATTGATGATAAAAATTAATTTTTATTTTTAACATGAAAGCATCCGGTGTCATATTAGTATTATATATATATATTGTTTCATAAGAATAAATTGAATTTAATTAAATAATTTAATTTAAATACAAATTTAATTAAATATTCTTTGTGCCATTGCTGCAAGGAATGAAATTTAAATTTAAACAAATTTAAATTTCAACAAACACGTTTAAAAGTAAAAAAGCAAATTTAAAGCCAAAATAAAGAAAAAAAGCCAAAATAATTTTAAAAAAATGTGCAAACATATAAAAAATTTTAATTCTCGAACTAATCTACAATATCATTTAAATTCAGAAGCATAAGCAAATCAAGTGTAAAACCAATCCATGAAAATAAATTCACTAATTAGTAAATTAAAATTAAAACCAATAAATTTTTTTTTAAATGCATAAGTGAATGACTGTGAGTAGACAGGAGACGACTTCAAGGGGAAGTGCCTCCAAACCTACTCTCCAAACATATATTTAATATTAATTTCAAAAAATTTTTAATCTTACAAGATAGCATCTTGACACTCAACTTTACCTACATAAGCGCATCTATATAATTTGAAGAACACACTTACTTCTCTTAAAAAACACTTTGAGACCCCCAACTCTCATATAGTAGGTAGTTAGAATTAAATTTACTATTACTGCTTTAAATTTTTTTTAAAATTTTTAGGAGTATTAATTTTCTAAATATGAAATATATTTTTAAATTTAATTTTAAGTAATTTTGTTTTAAAATTGTAATTAGTCTTTTTGTTTTCTTATTGGTTTATATGGATTATGTCTAGTTCCTTTTTTTAGTTTCTTTTTATTGATAGGAATATCGTGTGGGGAGGTTTCTGTAGACAAGTGTTCTAAAATACATGGTTTCTAGATTATTTTTTATAAAATTTATTTTCAAAATTTCATTTAAAAACATTTTAATCTAATACTTGGACTTTACTTGCTTGTTTCTCAAAATACTTCATTAGTATTTTCCTTTTGGAACTTTAATTCTTAAATGCTTATATGCATTTTTAAAAAAAATTGTTTGGTTTAATTTTAATTTGCTAAATTAGTGAATTTATTTTTATGGATTGGTTTTACACTTGATTTGCTTATGCATATGAATTTAAATGATATTGTAGATTAGTTCGAGAATTAAAATTTTTTATATGTTTGCACATTTTTAAAAAAAATTTTAAAAATTATTTTTCTTTTTTGGCTTTAAATTGCTTTTTTATTTTATACGTGTTTGTTAAAATTTAAATTTAAATTTGTTTAAATTTATATATATATAAAAATCTTTTAATGTGAATAGTTTTATATGATTTTTGATACTTTTTCGTTTGACGATACTGTTGTTGTAATATGTGTGTGTTATCACGTGTTTGATTACTCTTTCATTGGTGCAAAAGAGAAAACTACTTGTACGAAGTAAAAAGGAAGTATTGTAACCGTGAATAGTTTCAGGCAGCATATTTCAACAAAAATATCCATTTTGACCGCTATCGAATGAAATTTAACGATGTTTTTGCGTGATATCTGTACATAAGGACAGAATAAAAGACTCTTTTCCTCCAAAAAAATTATAAAACTGCTTTAAAATTAATTTCTAAGAGAATTTTTTGTGGCGTCTGTACGAACGTATGTACATACGTGCGTACATATCTTGCATAACTCAAAAACGAGTAGCCTCAGAACTTTAAAATTTTGTATATAGAACTGCTATAACATGTAGATGTGCACCTCGTATTTTGGTTGCAATCGGTCGCATCAAATGTATATAAATATATTTATATATATATCTACTATGTTACCCGGCTCGGTGATCTCAGTTTCTTTACTCTTATATGTTTGTAAAATTGTACATTTTTTGCTTTAAAAATGATTGAATTATGTTGTTCTTATCTTCCGATTAAGGTTTTTATGCCTTTAGTAAATCTGTATGCAATATTTTTAAAATTATCAACAATTGTATGCAATATTTTTACAATTATCAACAACTTAAACAACTGTACATAAGTACAGTCCTTATGTACAGTTGTTTAAGTGCTGCTAAGCCTAATAATGTTTTTGATGGTGGCCATTGCTTGTTTACATTTGAAACAGCAGAATAGTGGATTTGTTGCCAACCCAGAGAAACTTAACTTTGTAACAACAAAGATAACAGCTTCATTTATTATTGCGAATTAAATGCTTAATCCTTTCTGGAATTTTTTCGAGGAAATAAGTGTTTATGATTTACTTCGTAATTTTTAATACGATATTTGATTTTTATGTATTTTTGCCTTGTCGCGAAGTGAAAACTGAATTAATTGAATGAGAAGTGCTCAATCGTCTGTGAAAAACTGTTTCTTTTTTGTTTTGTTTGCTTAATTTCTTTTATACATCGTTCTAGCTTTATTACAGTATTTGAATAGAACATGTGGCAACGATTAGATAATTCAGTACTTTTCCATTTCGCCGGCGCAAATCTCGTCAAGCTGACTTTATTGGCGACAACATACAATATATACACAAAAAATGTTAACAAATGTTAGTTCTAAATTTTTTTTATTTTGAAGGCATAAATATTTTAATATCATTTAAAATTTTGTGAAAGCCAATAAATAAAGACAATGAATTTGTAAAAAGGCATTAAGAATTTATTATGCTTTCATGGTTCAACAAGCTGATTCGTCCGATTCATATCAAGTGACCTCAAGAGATCTCATCTCATGTAAACTACGCTACAAAAATGTAATTCTCTCGGTAGTAATTATCTACATTAATTTCAAATTAAATCTTAATTTGGAATACAAGTTTAAATGCAAGAATGATTTCAATTTGTACGAATAGCTTACTCAGAAATTATGTAAAACCGCAGTGCTTTACTTCGCTAGTGCATTCTCATTAGATTTGATGAATTTAACCCTTTGTCTTATGTATATTTTCGCCTTCAGGTGAGCGGTGTGGTTGCATTCTAATTGACTTAATTAACGCAAATGCCCTTAGGGCATAAAATTGTACTATCTGGTAAAAATTCTATGTAATTATATGCCAGTATTGAAAGAATCAATCAATCTGATAAGAAATGGCTGCGACTTGTTTTGAAATTGAGGCGTAAAAGGTTACCAGCGAGGTATTCCGTTTGTCATCAGTTGTACCATTATTGGCGACTTTATCGCTTGCGCCCGCAAAACGGAAAAGTACCGATAATTCTTTAAATGATATAAATTTTGTTCATTCTGAGTTATAATATGAATAAAATATAATACTGTTAAGTGAACCTAGCGCCAGAATGTCGCTATGGTAAACAAATAGAGAGAACTTTAAAGAATGCATTTTTTCTATTGTGGTAGGCGAAGTAGATTTAATTCAATCCAATAAGTTTAAATGAAATGCAAGAAAAAATGCGTATAATTTAATATTCCGTACAAGGAAGTCATGTGGTGTACGCATCAGATTTTTTTCCTTTAAATCAGTATGTATATAGAGTGCATAGAGAAAGTTTTCTCAGAATCAGAAAGAAATCTCATGTTTTTATTTTAAAAGAATTATTTAGCTAATTTGACTTTATGTTTGCTTGTATCATCATGAAATTAATATTCTAAAATATAAATAAACTGTTTTAAATTTGAATACTTCTCTTAAGGATATTAATATAATTTAACTTTCCTCATTCTGAGTGTTAAAATAACTGAGTTTATAGAATCTTAGTTGTGAAATAGGTACTTTTCCTTTATGTATCTGCCACACTCTTTGGTTAACTTTCTAAGTGTAAATGTGTTAAATTAAGCACACACATATGCATATGCAAATGATTTGGTCCCCAAATGATGTTCTCTTTGGATCTCGGCATGTGTTTCACTTCTTTTTTACAGGTGCCAGAAAGTATGGCAGGTGCATCACAGAAAAGTGCTGTGGTATATTTATTTACCAATAAAACTCAGTATCCATTTGTGTTATATTAATTATTAAAGAATGGTAAAATTTGAAACTATGGTTTAGAAGCAGATTGGTTACTTTGAATAATTATACTTATATAGGGAAAGATATCTCTATCTGATAGTAGAATATGAAGTGCTGAGACTTCTGGAAATCTTAAAAAAATAAAGGGCATGTGATAATAGAAATTTTTGTTGCATCATCAATATTAAAGGTAGAATTAGTAAGTATAAAGTAATTCAGCAGGACTTGTGCTTGAAGAGAATTTCCCATTTGGAAAATAGGAAGATCATTGTAGAGGCTGGTCCTTCTAAACTTTTAATTTTAAAAGTATGTAACATCTTCTAAGTGGAGAAAAGGGTGAACTGGAGTCTAACTTTCAGAGGGAGAGGTTGAATGTTTATAATCAGCAATTCTGCCCTAATTCATTTAGTTTTTCCTGTTTGTATAAAGTGTGTAAAACTTATTTAGTGTGTTGTAAATAAACGGAAAGGATCAATCTGGGAATCTGTGTGTAAGACAGCCACCACAACTGGATCTTACA